ATATTTCTATGGTGATAATAAAATTAATAGCTATTTTTAAATATTCTATTGTTTATATTAAATACACATCTCGACGGAACACAGATGTCGTTGATCTAAATTTTTCGAAGTAGAGGTCGCTACAGAAACGATAGTCTTAATTTCCACAAAAAAGAAAAAAAAAAAAATTCGCCTCTCGGCTAAATTATTGATCTCGCTCTCTCTCTCTCTCTCTCTCTCTCGCGCGCGCGACACAGCCGTACACACACACAGTCTTCATTTTCGAATGTCACGCGCCGTATTTCCCCTTAAAGCGGACATACACACGCAGAGAGGAATGCCGGATCGAGCACAGCGCGGCGCTATCAATTAAATACACAGGCCCCTGCATAGAAACGAAGTTTAACTTTCACAGGGGTTGGGGGAGGAGAGGGAGGGATGGTTTAATTAATCCGGCGAAGCTCGAAACGCCTTGGAACGAGTTCACTGGGCCAACGGTTAATATATGCCGATCCACAAGGAATCGGTAATTCCCTGCGTAGACCGACCGGGGGCTCCGGTATGCTGTTTGCGGTATCCAAATGCAATATACCAGAGCGTATCTGTCGCGAACACGTGCTGTATCTCCTGCTGCCGTGTATCTATCGGCCGACTACCTTTGGTAAATGCGGTCGCGAAGAGATCGAAGCTGTTGTCGTTCGAAACGTAATTGCCGAGGAACCTGACGTTCACGCGTCCATTATTGCCCAGTGAGTTCAATCGCAAACGCCTCGCAATCCCATCGTCGTTGATCTGTTCTTCGGTAGCTTCACGAAAAATGTCCCTTGAATCTTGGTGCTCCATTTTTTTTTTTTTTTTTTCTTTTTTTCAATCCTGAAACTTTTCAAGTAATTGACAACTGCGTCTCAGAGTGCCATTTAATTGCCATTTAATTCGCGATGTATTTTTATAACAGCATACATTTTTGATTTTGCCAAGTGAATTTTGACGAATCTGAATGCAGTTTAATAATAGGTCTTTATTAACATGTACACATTTATACATTAATATTAGTATTGATTACAACACAGTCGTGGTATAATAAAGAAAATTGAGGAGAAAAATTAATTTCTTATCGTAGGAAAATAGTAAGCAGCAAGAATATTCATTTCGTCCATATTTCATATTCAATTTTAATATATTTTAATTTATACTATTGTTAATTTATACTATTGTTAACAAGTTTAAAAATTTATACTATTGTTAATTTAAATTTCGCCTAAAATTAATAAAACTTAATATAACAATTATTTCACTGTAATAAAATTTACAAACTATTAACTCATAATATATTTCATGTTAACAAACTTCTTCATGTCTGCAAGTAAATAATGATTTGTTCCACTGACTGCTGTTAGTCTTATCATTACATTATATTTCACAAGCATCTTCATGTCTGCAAGTAAATAACGATTTGTTCCAGTGACTGCTGTTAGTCTTATCATTACATTATATTTCACTGTAACAAAATTTACAAATTATTAACTTATAATATATTTCATGTTAACAAATTTCTTCACGTCTGCAAGTAAATAACGATT